CCCCAAAACCCCAAAACCCCAAAACCCCAAAACCCCTGAAGGGTAGTTAAATAAGTATATTAAGGAAATGTTAAGCTCGATATATAAGTAGAATAAAATAATATAATGGACTCATAGCAGGAAAACGATTAGCGCATTAACCAAAGAATAAACTTCTACAAGCCCTAACCCACAAAAGATGATTATTTCGATTAAAGATAGAACTTTGCCACCAAAATCAGAAGAGACAACAAAAACTCAGTCATCCACAGAAAGAGACTCAACGGTATCTCAGCTGAAAATTTGATTCATATTAAGGAAATCTCCAATGTGGATATGAGTAGTAGTGGCAGTCTTTAACATAACATGATAATCATAAACGGCTAATCGTAAGATCCTGACCAGCACATCCAAGTTCTCTAGCTTCTTTAAAAGCTTATGCAGCCCGAGCAAATAGTTGAGGGCATTGCACAAGATAAGAAAAAAGATTTACTTTACTTAAGAGAACTCAGACAGGCTTTAATTGCCCACTAAGATGAGCTTACATTCCATTAATTCATCCTTAAGGGTGGCATTAAGGTCCTTACTAGTTATATTATTGACTCTAAAACTAATCAGCAATCAAAGGAAGAAGCTATATGGGCTCTTACTAATCTATCAATCTTTAGTGGCTCATATGAGGCTGATTTCATGGAAGCGTGTGAGGCTTTGCTTCACATATTACATAGTGATAAAATCGATAATCTCGGTTCATTGCTAAACCTAAAATAGCAATGTCTTAAAACTTTAGGCAATCTGGCTATTGATTCTGAAAAAATGAGACACTAAATTGCCAACTTCAATGGCAATGGCTTGAAAACAATAATTGACTTGATATATTTTAATAGAGCTCCATTGACAGAATAATGCTTTTGGACTCTTAACAACTTTCTGATTGCTGATTTCTAGTATAATTAGTTATGCATTTAATAGGGCTTATGCAAAGCTATTAACAATACTATCGATAAAGTTCAGGTAAAATCTGAGGATTTATTATCTGAGATGCTATGGTGTCTGCACTATTTGATCAGGAATGAGGAGTAAGTTGCCTAATTTGTCTGTGAGTAGATTCCTAATCTTCACAAAAAACTGGCCGCTGAATTAGAATCCTCAGTCTCCATAACATCAAACATTGTAAGACCAATAATCAACATCCTTGGAAACATAATTCCATTGCGTTTGGAATATGGCCATGACTTGATGTATGATGAGAAATTTCAAACCTTCATTCTGACGATATTGTTCCAACCAGACGACTAGAATCTCTACAAAAAGGAATGTCTATGGGTCCTATCAAATATTCTTGCTGGTCCATCTGAGCACAATTTCGAATTCATACTTGAGAACAAGAATCTTTTGGAACAAATCATCCACATTGCCTCCTCTTAAGACTACCAAGTAAAAAAAGAGGCTCTTGTTACCCTATACAACCTGTGTGAGAACCATCAAAATCGTTACCTGCAGAAGGTAATGTCAAAAAACCCCTCTCAGGCTTTCTTCTAAGTATTACAGAATTACTTTACTTGTGATCCCTATTTACTGAAGGTTTCGATTTCATTCTGTTCCTTGATCTGTGAGAAGTATCCAGAGCAGGCTATAAAACTCATTCAGCAAGAGAATATCTCTGAGATGATTGAGAATATTCAGTACAAGTACGAGCAGAACCCAGAATTAGTCTAGCTTTCATCGTCGTTTCTGGAGAAGTACATCTATAACATTTCCCATGATGCTGTAGTAGATGAAAGCAGTATGCACGATACTAACAATGAGAAAATGAGTTTTAACATTTGAATTGAATGAATTACAAATTGAAAATCTTCATTATTTTACTTAACTTATAAGGCTTACAAGCTTGCTTTAATTCGATAACTTTAATTCTTTAAATTTAGACTATGATTTAACAAAGATTTAATAAGATTTCATAATAAAACTTAATACTTTTTAGGTTAATATTTTTAATAATTAAGCTTGTTAGGGAAGCATATAATATCTAAATCTATAATTTTTTTGTTGTTGTTAAAGTGAATGAAGGTCTATCATTCATTCTTATATATAATTTACTAATCCTCATCTATTTCTAATTTGCTTGGTAGACTTTTTCTTTTATTACTATTACTGATTGTCCTAATCTCCATTTGTAAGGGAATAGGTGTGCCTTTCCTTTCTACCATTGCCTTGGTCAATCTCTTCAGTGACCTCAGTCCTTTTATTTCCATTATGATCATACACAGTTTTCTCTGTCTTGGTTATTTTTTGCCCATTTTGGATATAGGTCTGAGTCTTGACAGAGGTTGAGCCTGGTCCACCCCCAGAGAAGCTTGACTAGAAGGAAGTGAAACCACCGCCACCAAATCCACCACCAAAGCCACCGCCGAAGTTTCCAAAGTCATCATCAAAGTCATTAAAGCCAGCTCCAAAGCCACCGAAATTTCCAAATCCACCGAAACCTCCAAAGCCCATTCCTCCGAATGGATCTCTTTACTGCTGTTGCTGTCTTTAGTTGTTTCCTCCTCTCTTTTATTTATTCATTCCACTGCTAAAGCCAAAGCTCATAAAGTCATCATCATCATCGCAGAATGTTGAGAAGGGGTCTTTTCCTCCGAAGAAATTTCTAAAGACTGATTCAGCATCACTGAAAGTAAAGAAATCATGGTGACCACCGAATCCTTTGAATGATCCACCTGTTGAACCTCCTGCACCAGCTAAAAAGTTTAATAAAAAATAGACTTACGATTGAGACCAGATTTGCCATATCTGTCGTAAATAGATCTTTTTTCTGGATTGGATATAACTTCATAAGCTTCTCCAACCTTCTTAAATTTTTCTTGGGCTTCATCCTCTTTTCCTCTATTTCTATCCTAGTGAAAAAATTAAGCACGATTAATGTAAATTGAGATTCTTACTGGATGCCATTTTAGGGCAAGTTTTTTATAAGCTTTCTTGATATCATCCTCAGTTGCATCTCTGGGGATGCCCAATACTTCATAATAGTCATCAGAATCAACGTTTTAAGATGCCATCTCTTTTTAATCAATTAATTATTATAGTTGATAACTCAGCTTTAGTATTTAAATTTTCACGAATATTCTAGAAATTTGTACTGCAGGGGTTTTGGGGTTTTGGGGTTTTGGGCAT